ACAATTTTAAATACTCTTATATCTAACGTAAGTTTTACCATTTGCAATTGTGTACAAATGCATGGGACGAGTAGAAAAGTTATCTATTGGAGTAACAATGTTTTCATTAACACATTCTCCTACTTCATAAGCCACAAAGTGCTTGTCAAATCCTTTTATTGCAATTTCATTACATGCTATGAATATTTTGTCATTAACTAGCAAAAAAAAGTTAATTTTGTAAAGCTTAAAATCTTTGCAGAAAATGCCAATGTAATATTTTTGTTTATATATGGAACATTTATAAGTTATTTCAAATGATGTTTTTGCTGATTTTATATCAATTCCAAATTCATTGCTTTCAAAGATTTTTAAAAGATCTGGGTTATGATTTTGAAAATAATTTTCTTCGAATTCTTTTGGAACCCCTAGGGAATATTTTAGTAAAAAATAAGAAAATTGGAAACAACTTCTTCGCGCTATACTTTTAGATGGATTCAAGCGTGAAGTTATGCTGTTGAAATAGATTTTAGTATCTTTGTGTTTCGCCTCGAATCTCATTTACCACAAGTATTTCAATGGGCCACCCATTCAATTGCTTTCGGATAATGTACCATGAAGTGGTGTTTTGGTTTAAGATGTCCAAATAAACGAACATATGTTTCATGATGTTCTTTGATGAGCTTTGCTAAATAAATCAAATCATTTTCTGAATACTCATCTTTCATAAGAAAATCAAGGATAGATATTAGGTTGAGGAGAGACTTCCAAAATATATTTTCTTTTGGAACGATATCACCTAACATTAATGGCAAATATCTTATAAAGCACAACATTTCAGATGCAGTCATTTTTAGGTTGCATGATTGTAAGTTTTTCTTAGATAAAACTTTTGACACATTGCCAACTTCTAATTCACCATATGGAAATAAATTTTTTCTGTTGTTTAGTAAGTCAATGGTAATTACTTTGGATTCAATAAGGCTTAATAAAATTTTTGAAGTGTCGTACACGCAAACACCTTCTAACATATCATGCATTATATCGAAGGAAACGTTATTAATAACGTGAAAATATCTTAATTTATTCAAGGGACACTCACTTTTGATTCCGGAGTTAATATGTTTTAAGTCATTTTCGTAAGATAGTACTGTTCTGAGGTTGGTTTCTTCTGCACTGATCCTTGTTTCTGATTTAGTATTCTTACAAAATCTGCAAAATCGAATTGAGTTGAAACACTGCGTGTATCTAAGAACATTATTGACAGCGAGGTTATCGCCAATTATAAAATTCAAAACAAATACAACCCTTTTGGATAAAATCGTTATACCACTTTCAAGTATCATTAATTCTTTTATTAAATGATGCAGGGAAATAGTAATGCTCAAGTTTTCAAACTGTCACTAGAAACAAGCGTGGAATATAAAATCTAATTTAGATTGCAAATAAGCAGGTAGCGTAGGAAAATTTTAGTAGCATCTACATATTGAATATGTATGCCTTCCCAACGCATTATTTATTTGAAAGTCATCAAAATATAGGTTATATGGAATTATTACGTCCGCATTTGATATTTTGCAAGCAATATTCTTAAATACCTCACCATTGACAACATTTGTATAATTGTTTGACTTCATCATTTGAAGAGTATTTGTCTCAACTATGTCTAAGACAGATGGTAATTCAAAAAATTATTTGATTTGGAAGCTTATTGGCATAATTTCAATATATCTTACTCTTGGCGAAAAAGTGAGAATTCCTTTGGTAAACCCTTCGCTTGTTTTGCTTTCGATAACTACTGATTTGTGGTATTCGTTTTTTCCTTTAATATGCTTTCTTAAACTATGCTCTGATGTCACACTATGGAACGCATTGCAGCAAAAATCAGATAAAAATCGTAAGTTACCCGTTACGGAAAAGCAATCTTTTACTATCTCGTCAATGCATATTGAAATCTTTTTAAACAAACTTAAAAATCTATTTTGAATTACAAGTGCTCCACTTCGCGGAAGTGAGTTTTTTGCATACAAGGAGACGGAAAATTCAAGCACGTCCTCACTTAGTACTAACAAATTATTTCGGAAAAGTGTATCATTGTGTAAATTATTCGATGAGTGTTGCGATCTGTTTGCATTTGATGTATTTTGAACACTAAAATCGTTTAAATTCGTAGGGGTTTCTTCTGATATATATAAAGTATTTAGACCTGCATTTTTACATTCTTCGTTTTGAATCTTAGATTTTACATTTTGATTATTGCTACTATGTTTTTCAATGTGTTTTTTAAAAGTTTTGAACTGTGAAAATATTTGGTTACAGTTTTCAAATGTACATTTTTTACGATCTTTTTCTGTAAGAAAATGTTGTAATTTTAAATGTTTTACTAGATCGTCGCTAGTTGAAAATACTTTTTCACATATAAAGCAATTATACGTTTTGAATAACAGAATTTATTCCTTCATGAAACTGATAAGAGAGGTAAGAGAAGGCGATTTTATATCAAAAGGTGTTACAATTTCATAGAAGTACATTTGAATAAAAGTCCATGGCAAAGGACATACTTTTGGATACGCAAGGTTAAGTACTTGAAACACTTTAAAAGTTGTGTCAAGAGCATCAATAAATGAGTCGAATTTATGAGTTACTTGATCTAAATATAAATAAAATGCTTTATATTCACCTTCAACAATAATAAAAGGCTGAAGAGTTGTATCATTTACAAAGCTTTTTTCAACTAGCTCTTGAATTTTTTCACGAACATTGGCAATGCATTTGACATGCAGTATAAAAAAATCCTCTGCATCACTTATAGTTGCCTTTTTCTTCTTCTTACCGGATGAGTCCTCGAATCTGAACGAAGTGTGCAGTGTAGAGTTCAGCAACGTAATCAATGTGCAGTCTTCCTTATCTATAAAAAACATTAGGTAATTTTTAAAAATGAAATTTAAAAAATACATACGTTATACTTAAATTATTGCTTTCTATAGCATCCTTTAGAGCTGATTTAGAGAGTTGATTTCGCAAATTTATTTGGTAATATTTACAAATCCTGTTTTTAAATTTTTCAAACTTGGACTTCAGAATATATTGCTTGGAAGGATACAACACGTCAAAGTCAATATTTATCTGTATAAAGCAATTTCAAATGATTGATATGAAAACAGATATTAAAAACATATTACCAAAGAAACTGATCTGCCGTCCAATAACTTCGGCCACTGTTTTAAAAAGTGCACGTTATTTAATTCCTTCAACTCTTTGCGTCGCAGAGGAAACGTCTTGGCCCATCTATCGCATACTGTATCCCAATTGGAGCAGTCACGTTGCCATTCTGTTTTAAGACCAGATAAAATCCTTTCGTCAAACTCTGGAGATTCGGAACATTTAGAAGACTCAACGATCGTAGCCTCAGCCGAAATAGTGCTAAGTCTTTTACGTTTGTAATAAAGGTTTACGTATTTTGAGTACAATTTTCCGGATGGGCTACCACCAACTTTTCTTTTAATGTAATAATAGTCCTGCAATTTAAGAAATGAAAATTAACTGTATATCTCTTATAATATCAAATAACAAAAATAGGATTCTCTTACCAGATATTCCTTTTCACCTGGAAAAAACTCTCCAATTTCTTTTACTATGTCCAAAAAGTGGTTTGTTCGCAATTCTATGTTGTGCTCAGCTGTGTAGCTACAAATTGCATTTATTAGTTTACAACGCTGACTTTCAGTTAGCCTGGGTGTTTTCTCGTCATCTGAACGCAATGAAATAAGTGATCGACCATCAGGACTTTCACGAAGCACTTCATCTAGCAAAAACTTTAAAATGATACAAGTATTATATGTATTATGGAATTTGTCGTCACCTGAAATGCAAAGAGATTTAACAAACATCGTCACTAAAATGGAAAAAGTTCTGACTAATTTTTTTTCGTTAAACGAAGAAATCCATCATATCAATCAAAAATGAATTTTGAATTTTTTATTAGTTATGACTTTTTACATTTCAGCGTCGATGTTTGTTACGTCTTTTTGCATTTTCACTTTAAGAAAAATAAAACACCTTGTTGGTCCAATCTGAAATCGTTTTTTAGGTCTCGAATGCTTTTGTTGTCGCCAAAGTTTTTCCCTGCACTCCGCCCGTTCGCCTACACTTTTAACAGCATCTGAGATATCCGCATCGTTTAGGTATTGCAGTCTTATGTAGGTTATGCCAGCGTCTAAAACGGAATCAATAATAACTCACTTTGTTAATAATTAAAAGTATACACACATACCAGATAGTTCCTTAAATAAATTTTCTTGGTTAAATTGAACCAGTAGCTCCTTCAGCTTCTCACACATTTTGTGCGCAGCGACGCAAATTATTTAACTGAACTTCAGATTTAAAAATCTTATTCTTAGCTTCACTCAGTGAAAGCAACGAAGTAGGCTACGGTGCGCTTCGTTGTTGTTACTGCTTTTGTTTCCCAACATCGAAGTAGGCTTTGCTTTGCTTCATTGTTGTTATTGTTTTTCTTCTCATTGCACTGCTCGCGTTGGCTGAACATTCGAGATGGCTATTAGCGATTCTACAATAGGTGCATTCTTTTGTAACCGAGCTACAAAAGAACACTCGCTTAAATTACGAAATACATGCAAAGCAACAACACAAACTCGGCTATTTATCCGAGTTCAGCCAGGTCGGTTAAAAAATACGCGACCTGAAGGGTAGTGTTGTTAAGTGAAAAATCTGTTCTATTGTGAATTGTTAATGGGAAAGTGGAGAGGGAAATTTTTGTTTCCTTATATACATGACTTATATTTTAAATAAGTATATATATTACGCAAATACCTCTCATAATTACTAATTTTCATAGGTTTTTGTATCTAAATCCAGTTAAACTAATCACGTGTTTCTCGTCAGTTACCAGCAGGGTTGTTTAAGTAGCTAAAAGGAAATTTTAACCGAGTTTAGCGTTCTTTTGTCGCTCGCTTACAAAAAAATGCACCTAATAGCGCAGTGGCAGTTTTTCGAACTATTACTGCGTGTTAAAAACTGTCACTGCCACTGCCACTGCGCTATTGTAGAATCGCTTTATGATTTTTGCTAACGGGATTTAATTTTGCTTATTCACAAGTATACATACATACGTACATAGTAAATGCATAGTAGATGCAGACATTCATGTGTACATATGTATGTATGTATACTCATTAATAACGAACCAGGGATGGAATAAAAAATCTCAAAATGTGCCTAATGGACTGGAAAAATAGTGCCGAAAAGAAGATGAAAGTACCACAAAATTAAAATTGCTTTCCTTTTAAGGCTTTTTAAGAGCAATATTTAAAAAAAAAAGTAGTGAAATTATTTATTGAATTACACTGTTCGGAAGTCAGCTTGGGAATTGATGAAAGCAAGTTTTTCTGAAACATTGGATTGTATATGGAAAAGCAATTTCTCATTTTGCCCAGGTTGGCGATTTTAAGCTTTTTTTTCAATTTGAAATTGGTAGTCGCAGACGTTTAAAATGTTTAAAAGTGTTTAAAAAGAAAATATTCATACCATCGAAATACTTTTCTAGGGATATTCGGCCACGAGGAATCTGAATCTGCAGTTTATTTTTTATCAAAAGGCGTTTATTTTTACCAAAAACACTGCGGCTGCTGGTTGAGAAGCATTGTTTGCACTTTTCCTTCATATTCCTTCCATGTTTTTTTAAACTAAAGCGCCCCCTAGCGGCCGTTTTTGTTAAAAATAAATTACAAGCCCAGATTCTTCGGCCTGAAGTCGGCAAAAAGGTCTTTTGTGTGTATAAATATTTGTATTTTAATCACTATTAATTGTTTTAAATGCTACAGTGCGACCACCAACTTGAAACTAGAAAAGGGCTTAAAATAGCCAACATGGGAGAACTGAGAAATTTCTTTTCTATATACAATCCAGACTTTCAGAAAAACTTGGTTTCATCAATTCCCCAGAAGTCATAGTAAAATAACACAATATTCCAATTACGAAGGGAGAAAACACGGAAGTATAGCTATTCGGGCATGTTGATCTATATGTCTATGTGCAAAATAATAGCAGTTCGGCATTTTGACCAGTTTTGACTATGCTTCTTTACAGTGATTATTTTTTATTAGTTTCATAAAACAGTCCTTTTAATTTTTAAGTGATTTTAATTTTATGATTGTTTGTTAAATATTGCCATTTTATGCTAAATTTCTGTAAGTTATGATTGTGCCATAACTGAATGAATTGTGCCGAAAGTGCCTCTGCGAATGAAAGTGCCAAAAATGGCACTATTGTGCCTACTTTTCCATCACTGAAACGAACGCGCGAAACTGCGTTGGCTACAGTTAGCTGAGCACATCTATACTCAAACAGTGATGCCAGACCATGTATTAAGTAAATGCACAATGTATATTTTTCTATTAGAGCGTAAGTTCTAATGGGCGGACAGGTTGATTTTTGTTTATTATATATAACACTGATAATATTCATATACTTATCTAGCAACTTAATTAATATAATCAATATTCTTTGTATTTATATTCCTCATATATCCTACTAGACTTGGAAAAATTCCCAATATTCAAATCTCTCATATGAGTTATTATCGGTAAAAATTTTGTGTACGCTCACTTCTGGCATCACTGAATGAAGTGCTTTTCCACGCTCAAATAAGATGCCGGACCATGTTTTAAATGAGTAATTGTCACATATGTGTATTTATCTATGCATTTCTATAGAATTTATACTTGTGGGCGGAGTTGATTTTCGGTTTCTACAAAAAATACTGATAATATTCGTACAACTATAGATATTATTGACATAACCCACATTATGTTTAAAAACAAAATACGTATATTTCCAAATCAGGTTAAAACAATCCCCAATGTCCTAACCCTCAAATGAGTTCATATTTGTAAAAAATATTGTACTACTGGCATCACTGCCTACAAGTGTTCTATCACAAATAAAATCTCACTATTCTTTTGACTTCGTTTTGCCCCCTTCTGATCATTTTTTCTTCCTCGCACCAGCAGTCGTCAGCGTCACTAATTTACAACGCTCGTATCAGACTAGAATACATTCATTTTAAATTCAAATTTGAAAATGTATTTCCACCTAAAGTAGTAAATTTTAATGCTAAAGTATCAAACCATAAATTCATAACATTTTTCTTAATATTACAACGCGTTTTTTTCTCAGTGTACACATTTCAAATATGCTTTAAGAGTCCTAATATATTTATACTCAACAAGATTCCTAAGTTTAAATTATAGTTTTAGGCCAAATGTAAATGATATTTTAGATTGCTTCGTAGATTCTGATTGGGCAGGTGATGTGGTAGATAGAAAATCGACTGCTGGTTACATAATTAGAATGTATGGAAATGTCATATATTGGAAATCGCACAAGTAGGGATGCAACATCGATCTTTAAAACATCGATATTTGAAAACATCGATGTTTTCACAACAAACATCGATTTTAAAAAACATCGGTTATAAAAACGATACATCGATGTTTTACCAATGTTTAATTTCTCATCTACTACCCGATATAAAATGTAGCCGGAAATACTTTTTAAACTCGAAAGAACTTGATCCGCTACAAACCATAACTTTATACAAAACTTTGAAAAGTTCAACACATTTTTATCTTAATTTTGAACTTTTTTATCTAAATTTTTAGAAAAAGCCGCTAAAAAATCGCCTTGATTTTTTAACGAATTTATTTTTCTGCCGGGGTTTTTCACTTTTTACCATATAAAAGCAAATTTCTTGTAGGATTAAATGCGAAAGACCTTTTGCAAAAAAAATTAAAAAAGAAAAAATCGACACCAGTTGTTATAAATTGCATCTTTTATATGAAAAAAATGCAAAAGCCGCCAGAGAAAAATCATTAAAAATCAATAGGATTTTTAGCCGTTTAAAAGTTGCACCTGAATTACATATCCAATGTACCTGCAAAACCTGAATTTTTAAAATACTCAGACTAAAAAGTTCAAAATTTAGATGAAAATTTTTTGAATCTTCCTAAGTTCTTGTTACGAAATGAACCAGATTTTTTATAAAAATAAATAACAAACAAAAAATTAACTTGAAAAACGACAAATATTAAACAAAAATCAGCATCCACCCACATTTGATCGCCAGTGTATGCATGTACATCAACTTCCTTCAAGCAGCATATTTCAATACAAGTATATTTAATATAATTATGATGTATCTTAAATATATAAATCTCATTTATCTAAATATGAATAAACATTTTGAAATGGAGTTCAGAAAAGAAGCTTTGAAAATCGAGCCTCCAAAAGCCTGCTTTTATCCTGAATGATGGTTGCACCAGCTTCCCAGAACAAGCGCTCACTTACCACTTGTCGTTCGGAGTGAATGAACGAATTCGATGTTTTTCACTTTTCTAGTCGATGTATCG